CCCCCCATCCTTTGCGTTTGTACTTAACCGGAGTTCAGTTTCTGTTAGGGCTGTGCCGTTCATCCCGTTCTCGGTTTGGAGCAGGGAAATCAGGTGTTGTTCCTGGAGTCGCGCCTTTGCCTCCTGACTCCATTGTTCCGGCAGCAACGGATTGGGGAGCGCGGTTCCGTTTCCACCAATCGTCTCAACCAAGCCCAGTGTTCTTTTGGGGACAAGCTCCTCGGCGAGAAATTTCCGTCAAGTTTCCTCCATGGAGGTCTTCGTCGCCCTGAATTCATGTTTGACGCCCGTTGTCGTGGAAGAAAACCGTTCTTCTGAGTGGTGACCGGGGGGGGAGAGATTGATCGCTGCCGGGGCTCTAGAACGGGCAGCTTGGGCGTTGCATTGTGCCTGTTGAACGAGCATGCTGGCCATGTACTTGTGTAGAAACAAGGAATGTCGCCTTCATCCCAAATCTCCTTCGAAGGATGTACAGTGGGCTTCGTCGTCGTGTCTTCGTCGTCGACGCCCACGCCGCCGCCGCCCCTACGCTGCTGTCGTCGTCTCGGGCAGGATAAGGAGGGGGGTGACGCGGACAGCGGTGGAAAGGGACGCAAAGGAAGAGGACCCCCCGCTACCGCTGAAAAGCTAGACTCTGCCATGGACAGCTACTGGGGGAACGGAAAGGCCGCCGAGGCTGCCCCCGAGGGGAACGAGGTGTGTTGCTGTAGAACAGTAGGTTTTTTACGTATGATACCACACCCCCTTTGGACCGATTTCGGCATAGACTTTGCAATGTTTTTCGTTCAGGTGAACATGATGGACAAAGCACGCAATCGGGGAAGTTGGTTTAGGGTGAGGCAAATAGGGTCTGCGTACCCCCTCCCTGTTATATTTCTCCTCATCACCTTGATGTCTCGCGAAGGCGGCCCACCGACGTTCACCCCCTTTGCACCGATTTTGAAAGCTCGATTACTCCACGCGTCTAAGATGCTCAAAAAGAAAAAATATTCTTCAAGCTTTTCTAGAAGATCGTGGTGGGGTGCGCAGGAGATCCCGCAACATGGTCGACACTATAAATGCGGCCTCGTGCAGCGGTGGAAGCAATACACGCTTCCGCCTGTTATTGTAGGCAATGTCGCGTAGTGAGGCTATGTCATGTAGTGAGGCAATGAAGTGTAACCTCTCGTTGTAGCTAGGTTAGACCACGTGGGTTCCTGCATCTCATTCGACTAGGCCCAGCACTCCATCCACACGCTATGACCTTCCTGTCTACGAAACATGCCGTCCAATGTCGAGTTTATGTGAAGAATGGCAGATAGGTGGTGGAGTGAAGCTAAGCGCGATCCGAATTGCTGTTGTGCATTGGGTTTGTGTTTGTATGTCTTGCCGTTTCGTCCAGAAGGAGAACAACGACGTGGCTGCGATGGAAGGGCAGGACGAAGAGGCGCCTGCTGCAGACTCGGCAGGCGGAAACTAAGGGTGGCAAGGCAAAAGGCTCGAGCTAATGAGTCGAGGACTGCAGCAGGGAGCTGGGGTATAAAGCAAGGGGTTGAGGAGAGTCAAGGAGCTGTTCTGGTGCCAAANGGGGGGGGGGGGGGGGGGGGGGGGGGGGGGGGGGGGGGGGGGGGGGGGGGGGGGGGGTTCTGAGAATGAAGAGTGCGGGATGGGGAGGCCGTCGAGCACGTGTTTTGGTGTTAGGTGTATGGTCCTACACGTACGAGCGAAGGAGTAGTGGCCGGAAAAGAGTTTGCGTATCCCCCGCCCCCGGCCAGGACGTCGCTTGCCCTCCCTGCTCCTCCGACCGGCTCAAGAACCGAACGGACGGACAGCCATGCACATCGATAAAAGCGTTTTGGAATTTATTCGCAGTCTTTGTGGCGGCGGCAGTAGTAGGTCCAGTGGGCGTCAATAAATGACGATGTGGTTACAGGAGGAGGGTCGATGTTGTCACTCGGCCCACCTTGAATGACATGTTCATCGTTCCTAGCCCCGTAAAATGGCTCCTTAAGAAGTCGACTAGAGGGCGTAGAGGATACGCCAAGTTGTGGTCTGTAATGTTTGGTGTTACACCGCATCAGGCCGGAGGTCGCACGGCGGACACAACAACGCAGTACCCGGCATCAAGTAGGCCTGTGTCGGGTGG